AAAAAAGATGCTACATGTTTGATATTATTAAAAAAAATTAGCGATTTTTTCTCCCTGGAGCAAATTACAAAAAAAAAAAAAAAAAAAAAAAAAAAAAAAAAAAAAAAAAAGCCTATTTACAAAAAACCAATATTACATGGTTGGTATGATTGTTAATACATTGTATGTCTCCCAGACGATGCAATACAGTCCGTATAACGCCTAGACATGCTGAGTATCAAATTATTAGTCTGATCTTGGGGGATATTACACCACTCAAAAAGCAATGCTCTCCGAAGTTCCGGTAGACATGTAGGAGGAGGTTGACGGGCTGCACCTCGTCGGCCAAGCATGTCCCACACGTGCTCTACTGGATTCAAGTCCGGTGAGAATGCTGGCCAGTCCATACGGGTGATATCCTCCGATTGAAGGCATTCGCTTACGATGTTTGCACGGTGAGGACGGGTGTTGTCATCCATAAACACAAATTGTGCGCCCATGGCGTCCCGAAACAAACGTATATGTTGTTCCAGAATGACGTCCCGATAGATTTGGCTTGTCATGGTTCCAATTTGAACATGCACGTCAGTTCTGGAACCCAGAATAATTCCACCCCAAACGAGCACTCCTGCACCACCGTAACGGTGTCGTTCAATGATGTTTTCTTGGTGGTGACGGTGACCTGGAGCTCTCCATATGAAAGTCCGACGAGAATCAGACTGCAAGCTAAACCTGAACTTGTCGGAAAACATCACACAAGCCCACTGTTGCGGTGTCCACAATGCATGCTCTCTACTCCAGGCTAACTGCAGGCGATAGTGAGTTGCAGTAAGTGGAAAGCATCTGACAGGTCTACGAGCATATAGACCAATCTGCCCCAAGCGTCTGTACACGGTCTACCTTGAAATTGGTCGTACCAGTAGCTGAAGAGAGCTGACGAGACAGGTCTGAGGCTGTGCTCTGCCTGTTTCTTTTGGCAGTAACTGCCAAATACCGGTCCTCATTCGACGTTGTAACTTTGGGGCGACCTGTGCTGTAACGTCTACTCACATTACCATCATCTTGGAATCGTTGCCAAAGCCTCGAGATGACACTCTGGACAATTCCAAGTTCGTCTGAAACTTCCAGTTGGGTGCGCCCACATTCCAGACGGCCGATAATTCTACCACGTAAAAAAATCATCCAAATGCGTCCTTTGTGTCATAACTATTCGGTTATTGCACTGAAATGCTTATAAAGCGCCTGCGAACAATTTTACTTCTTTGCCTGTATTCCTTATATATCACTCTCTTACACTCTCGCCATTGTGACGTACCATCGGTGTCATCTGGTTACTTCCTGAAATTTGCATATGATTCTTGAAGATGTGTGTAGCGATTTTACAGGTGATATATTTATTTTAGAGTTCGATTTCCGCATGACTCCGAATTATCTTTAATTTATGGACATAAGTGTATTAATATAAGGAATTATAATTTCATTTTATAAAAGAAAATAATTATGATGTCAATAAAAAGTAGTATAAACGTATCTATACTCAAACGTATGCCTGTGCATTGAAAATGTGAAAGCCCCGAATTTGCGACAGTTAAAAATATAGGTGTATGGCAAAATATAATAAATATAAAATTTTTTAAACACAGATATATTTTTATATAAAACTAACTACTAAGCAAATAATGACATTTAGCATTTGAAACTAGTTCATAGAAGAGTACGGTAGGAGAATCTTTAGAGTACAGAAGAAACAAATCTACCTTCAATTTACATTGCAGGTGGCTACGCAATTAATATATCAAACACATTTTTCCTGTAGGCATTTCTTTATCACTCATTTCATATTTCATTCGAAATTCCAAATTCGTATGCCGTATTTTTTAGTTTACCCCCCTTTTTTACTATTTATATATTTCGAAAATCAAGAGGAGAAAATTATGCGAATAACTGAGTTTCCGAAAGACGCTGTTACAGTAAGAACATAACAAATAATAGAAGTCACAGATAAACTGCAAATAAACATCACAATATTATTTCTTTAATAGAAATCTATATTCCAATTAAAGTACATAGTTATATTAACATTACAATATTTCTCTACTAGGATATCTTGACTTCTCTGCAGCTTGAATCTCGCTCTCGTTCTGCTCTATTGCTTCTACTGCTCCTTAAGCCTGAAATCATCCATAAATAGTTAGAATAGGTGAATGTGCAACTGAATCAACAAAATCGTAGACTGGATGTCAGTTCATGTTTGCTTCGCTGTGATAAGTCTATTATTGTATTAGAATGGCATAAAGTTCAGCAGTTGGAAAGAAAAGGTTCGGCATGACCTTCACAGGTAGTTTGCAAAGGTTTCTCTTTGGTAGTAAGACGAAAAAATCACAAGTACACGAATAAATTTTAAAACTTAGGGCTGGTAATTTTCTGAACGCATTGAGAGAAAGTGCGAAATTGATGGAATACTTTAAAATTATCAGAACCTGACACTAAAAGCCTAGAGGGAAAAATACGAGAGGAAATGCGGTGATAATTTAAGCTGGTGAATAAGGGAGTTAGATATTAATTTTCCAGTAAAATTTTTCCTTACTTTATTTGATCTATGAGAGTTTTACACTGATATGCATCTCACGTGACATAGCTTGAAATACTCTTATCATTTTTTTTTTTTTTTAAATTTTTGCATGAGGAAACCACCCAAAAGAAATAAACATTTCAAATTCTTTTCATGAATAAGAAAATTATCAGAGATGAAGTGTTTGCAATTGTACTGTACATTACAGGGTTTTTACGCTAATTAACAAATTTTTATGACTTAAAACCTTTACTGTGCTTTACTTGTCTTTTCCATCAATTTGCAAATTAGAAGATAGAGTATTTCAGTAGAGAATTTTGTAAATGTTTTGAAATTGGTAGCCTCGCAGCAGTTTACATCCTATAGCTAACTCTGGCAGTTTATTCCAGTTTTAGTAATTTTTGATAGCTGATTTTAAAAACACGACATTTAAAAATATTGAGCCAACGTAAATAAATAATGTGGAGTCTTTGATAAGCTAGTTTCATTTGAATTTCAACTTATATTATTTTAAATACTCGAAAGGAAGTTATTTGTACACACAAGTAAGGCTTTCTGTTCAATTTAAAGATTTAACATTAAGGTTATTTTAGCCTTCTCAGGACTTGGTCGTATAAATTTAGACGGAGCTATAATTCACTTGTTAGTCTGATGGAATTTGAAGTGTATAAATTTAAACTTCTACACAACTAAGACCCTAAAACAGGAATATTTTTTATACCAAGCTGAAAGAAGTATTATATCCTGATGGCATTATCTGTTACTATGAACGACGCAAGTTTAAATTCGTGGTTATTTTGAGACTAGGAGTTCCATGGTATACAGATGGCAGGCAAACTAGATGCTAGCGATCCGAAGAAAACTCTTGGTAGAGTTCGCATATACATGTAGACATCTTTTTTAGCAGATAGTATCAGGTGCACACAGACTAAGGAGAAAAGGGAGCAAAAGTATTAGTCCCTTAGGTGAGAATGTGAGATATTTTGCACGTGTAGTAAACGGTATTCACCTCTGGACTCCTTTGTTCTTGATATCTCGTCCAGGACTCCAGAATATTGTTCCTCTTTTTTTTATATAGCAAAGCTTCGAATCACACTCTGGTACGCAAAGGGAACAAAACAGCCAAAGGTTCAATGCATACAGTTTTGGAAAAACGAGAACAATATTCTCTGGAGTGATTCGCAAGATGCAGAACTTAAAGTAAAAATCACAATTATATAACTACTCATTTGGTTCAACTAAGAACTTTTACAATAATTTTTTTTATCTCATAAGAATGTAATCCATTTACCAGAGACAATAACTCTCTACCTTAGACAGAAAAGGGTGACAGTTAAATTAATTTGAAAATGACAAAATTAAGTAAATGGAAACATTAAATTAACGCAGAATTATTGCAGATTAAATACCATGAATGATTCGGTAACAGAGGAACAGCCCTTCTTATGTAAACATCTGGTAACATGCGGAAACCTGTGTAATGGAACTTGTGCAAAAATCTAGTGAAATTACAATATTATTTAATTTTTGATTAATTTAAGAAATACTATAAATTAAATAAATTACGAATGTCAATAAGCTAAGATTTCACAAATTGCAAATTAGTTAATGTAACAAGGAAACAAGTTACACAATACTTTGAAGGTTCCATTCCCAATTTGATTAACGTTTTAAATTCCACCTCTTTCCGCACGGATCGTTTCGTAGATTCATTTTGTCTCCAAAACATAGTGCTAACTGTTTGTTTTAGCAATTTATTATGTACTCAAAGCTGAAAGCAGTCGTGCAGCAATTTCGAAATATCCCGGTGATTGTTAAAGTCTGTATCGAATTTTCCCTTTCCTTTCATATTAGTTACCGAACCTTACCAGTGGCCGAGTGGTTAAGACTACTGAATGCTGGGAGATCGATCCCAGGGTAACGTACTGGCTGCATGGTTGTTTTTCGTGGGTTTTTTCAAATGTAACATAATTACAAACCAGTCTACTTCAGAAAGTTCTCTACGAAGCCACCCCTCCTTCTATTCAGACAGCCTTTGTATGCTCTGCCGTATTCTAATCTAACCTAACCTCGTCAGTTACGAAAGGAGAGAGACTATTTGATTTTTTAAAGTTATGTATATGACAACCATCTTATTTAAAACGCATGTACTATTTGTTTATTTCATATTTAAATATTCATATGTGCTACCCAAAGTATACAGTAGGTGGGTAAGTTATAATAATATGATACTACATAAGCTACATGTTTCTATTAAAATGGTTCCCTGAATTTTTTATGAAGTTTTTATTTTACTTACATTGAAATTAAAATTTTAAGATTTCTTTAAAATTATTTTTATTTTTATGAAGTATTTTTGTGCTCACTTTGAAAGTATAATTTTTAATTATATTTATTCTTGTACAATTATTAATATTTTTGGTTGCTTATTTTCTTTTCTTCTTTACAGATTATTGTTGCTGTGCTTTGTTTAGCAGCTCTCTTCTGCATTACTGCGGCACTGCCCCAAATGGGTGGAGCTGGTGCAAACGCAGGTTTCGGATTTGGATTTAATGCAGGATTAGGCGGAGGTGCAGGTGGAATGGGTGGTATGCCTGGAATGGGTGGTATGCCTGGAATGGGAGGTTTTGGAAGAAGGAAATAAATATCTCGAATTAAAGATATGTGTATGAATATCATGACTGCTTTTAAACTGACAACAAGCAACAACAGCAAACCATTTAGCATTAATATTGTAAAAACTCATACAATAAAAGCCAAATTTTAGAAATGCAGTTTATTTGAATTTTCTATCTATCCCTTTTACTTTGAGACTTACAATTGTTAATTTAGACCAAATAAGAAATTTACATAAAAGCTCCTCTTTCGTATTTAATTGTATTTTACAAATTGTACTTAGTCGCATTTTACAAATTTTAGCATACCCGGCTTCATTTTAACTAAATGGTAAGTCTACAGACAAATACAAACAATATAAGGTTATATAATAATAATAAAAATATGTAATGAGTAATAAAATAATAATAAAAATAAGTACATATCTATAAATATAAATCTTCAGACAAAACAAGTTATAATTACACGAGTACAAACAGATTTATATCTTCTTACTTAGACTGTCTTTTTAAAAAATTGATTAATCTCCACATGTGTTTTATATCATGCTAGTAAAACTTTTTTTATTATTTCCAATGGCTAGACAAAATGTTACAAAGAACTAAAATCTTACAAACAGAGGTTACAAACAATAGAACTAAGATTACAAAGATCGAAGTCATTGCCTAAGGAGCGCTTGCGCCTTTCAGTATCTCGACTTTCTGTAAGACCACAAAGAGCCCCACATCGAAGAAGGTGCTCCCTATCCATTTCTTCTCCAGAATCACTCACAAAGTGGGCAAATAGGATTGCTCGAAATGCTTATGCAGTGCAGATGGGCGGCAAGTAGTGATGGGCAACTTCGGTACTTTCTTGTACCCGGTACGAGAGTAAGACAAGTACCCGGTACAAAATACCCGTTACTCAAGTAACCGTTACTTTGAAAAGTACCGAAAACCGATTTCAAGTACCGAGTATCCAAGTATCGATTTGAAGTACCGAAGTAACGAAATACCGGAGTACCCTAGTAACGATTTGGAGTACCAAAGTACCCTAGTAACGATTTGAGAGTACCGAAAGTACCGAAGTGCCCCTAGTAACGATTTGAAGTACCGAAATACGCAGCTAACGATTTTGCGCAATGAAGGAACTCTGCCACGTCACCACGTGTTTGATTTTATCTGTACGGAGTAAGATTTTGAATATCAGAAAACAAGTCAACTTCGCAAGTTGTCTGAGGAGCAGGCCATTCATGGACACAAGAAGCGCATATTACCATTTCGCAAATACAACCAGATACTACTGTCCTCGTACCGTCCGAAATACCGAGAAGAGACGCATATTTTCGTTACAAAGTAGCCAATACCGAAAAGCACCCGTTTCGGTACAGAAGTAACGAATACCGAAAAGTGCCGGTTCGGTACAGAAGTAACGAATACCGAAAAGTACCCGTTTCGGTACTGACGTAACGGGTACTTGGATGTACCGATTTTCATTACCCGTTACAAAATACCCGGTTCGGTAGTACCGACTCATCACTAGCGGCAAGCCAATCATGTCCTGCAGACAGACGAAAAGCCGCAACTGCATTGCGTCTTGGACTACCGGGAATAAGAGGAGGCCTTAGCATTCTCCAACTTTTTAAAGCTGGTACGAGTCCGAAGATCTCGTAAGATATTAGAAGTAAATAAACTTTTTAAAAATAGTCTTTCAATAAGTTTAATCCTCCAATAAGAAATGGCTGTATTAAGATGTTGCTGTAAGCTGGCACCTCTTTTTGCAAGGAAGTCTGCTTGTTCATTTCCCCAAAGGACACAATGGCAAAGCAGCACCCATTGGAGAAAGATTTTTTTTCCCTTTTAAAGTGAAAGTTCTCAGGAATTCATGAAATTGCAAAATTTCAGGGTTTAATGGTTGTTCAACAGAGCTAATTGATTGAATGGCTACGTAAGATTCAGTGCTAGTAAAACTAAAATAATAATATTTCCTTTCGGTCAATTGAGAAATAAATCTGTGAAACTATTTAGCCTCATTTCGTATTACTAATCTCTCTATATAATTTATCTCATGCTGGTAAAGTTAAAATAGTATTAGTTCCTTTCAACTGAATAAAACATAAATCTAAGAAATTTATTTGGCCTCATTTCATATGGAAAAAAAAAAAAAAAAAAAAAAAAAAAAAAAAAAAAAAAAAAAAAAAAAAAAAAAAAAAAAATCTGACGTGAAATACCGCATAAGTTCCTTTACGACCTATTAAGTTATGCACATTTTTACTGCATTTCATTTAAGCTTATTTCATCGAATTTCATTAGAGATACAGTTCTCATTCAGTTCTCACTTCACGGCATGAAAAAAACACATAAAAATTAAAAACACCTCCATTAAAAATACTAAAGCACAGAAAAACTTAAAACACAAAATAGAGTTTAAAAATCGTTAAGAAAACAATTTTTAAAATTAAGATTAGACTTTCAATCAATTAAAATTAGGCAGAGAGACAGATTTTGTGGTGCAGGAAACGTTTGGTCCCACTCTGCACACTGAAGTTGGTGCAGAAACTGACTGAATTAAATATACTACTAAGTTTCAGATGTAAATAATTGGTGGCGACGTTAGGCTTAGTGGAACTTAAACAACTTTTATTTTGTTGATAATTCTGAAATTAAGGTTAAAATGGTTAAAAAACAATGATGTAATTGTTTAATCTGTGTTAAAAATATATTTAAAATTTGTAAATGACAATCATATATCCGCATAGAAAGCGAGATGCATGAATAGCAAATCTCCGTAGCGATAATTTACTTGCTATCGAAAAGCACAGAAATATTATTAAATAGATGTTCACTCTGCTATAAGAAAAATATAGTTATAACCAATATGAGGTGCATAGAATCTTTCTATAAAAAAGTTCTGTTAGTTATATAAACAATATAAATAGTATCAAAATTATTACTGTACACTGAAAGTCAATGTCCGGTTTACAAATGGCAATGATATGACTGCACAGAAGTCTCACGTTAACAGCAAATCCCCCAGTAACAATTTATTTCTTATGGAAAGCTACCAAAATATATTAAATTCATTCAGTTTTAAATTATTCACTTTCATAGACTGTTAGCCAAGATATTGTCATAACTTAGAAAGTAAAAAACTTCCTCTCAAAGTCTGACTTGTAAAATGTTTATTATTATGCCAAGACAAGATGATTTTCTCGAATTAAAGTCACCACTCTCTCATTTATATGTCAATAAAATAACTTTATAACGAAAATTAAATAATTTGCAAATTAATTCTCTTCATTAATTCACTAAAATTTCTTGAGAAAGTTATGTAGAATGTATTTAAGTAATTAACGAAGTCTATATTTCAGCGAAAGTTTCAAATTTCGCTTAGTACTTAATAGATAATAAATGCAGAAACCGTAACAGAATACCTCTTAATTTCTTAAATGTGTGTTAAAGACCAGCAGTAAAAGTCAGAAAAGATCTCAATCCGCTAACAAAAATCAACAAAAGTGAAAGAAAAGTATTTTTTATTCGTTTGTTGTATTTAACTTTCTAAGTTAATGGATAAATTTGTGAAATATAACAAGCAAAACTTCTATTTTCGAAAATACCACGAATTAAAAATATTAAATTCGTATTTTAAAAATAAAAGCGATTCAGCCTTAGCGATTTTTAAAAATATCATGGAAGCAATATTAGTTCAAAATAGTAGACCAGAAGTAAAAAATCCCCAATTCTTACTAAATCCCTAGCAGATAACTGCATTTTCCTAATGTAGGCCAGACTAGAAAATGTAATATCAATTCAACTGATCTGATTTAATTCCAACCTTAGAAAAATCATACGGCGAGAATTGAACAGAAATGTCTTCTAATAATCTTTCAACGTTCAGTGTGATTTTGCTTCACAAAAGTATATTGTGTAAAAAGAATTCAAAGACTTGAGTTACACCAACAAAACATTTTCTTAATTATAATTTCAAAATTATAATAATGCACTATTGTATTATTATTTTTATTTTGAAATATGTAAAAGAGAGCAGAAATACTACACACGTTTCTCTAAAACGGTTGCGCAAAAGAACTCTTAATGCGAAACCTTTAATTCTTACATTCTACAACTGCTAAAATGTATAATTTTTGTATTTTTTATTGTTACTCTTTGAAACTTCCTTTCTTCCTCTGAATTGCTATATTTTAATCCCAGTAACAAAACCATAGAACCAAAATAAAATAAAATTGAAGATTGCTTCCTGAAATACTTTCTTTATCGATATTTAGCTGATTGAGGCTGGAAATGGTACTTATGGAATACACATTTGTAATTTAATCTTTTGTGTCGAAGATAGTTCAGCGAAACGTTTTTCTGTTAATTATTCTCTTACAAACATTATTCACCTTCCCAATCTGTTTCTTTTTTTCCTTATTTCTGATAATCAAAATATATAATCAAAGAAGTTCAAATCCAACCCACTTCAATTTGTAATTAAATATTCTGCATTGAACAAAAATGTTATATTTACTGAACAGAAAAATTTAGATTTATTTCCGCAATAAAAATATTTTGATACATTCGTTTTGTAATGACTTTTGTTAAACAAAATTTTGGAGATTCAACAGGTATCAGAAATCTAGAGCAGCAGTATTTGACGCATCTCAAACTAAATCTAAATGAAATTTTGTCTGTTCCACTAAAAAGCAATGAAGGTCTGTTTCAAAAGAAAATGCTTATGGACCTAAGTTTCATTTTTAAATGCAAAAGGAATACGCCTTTTGTCTTCTAATTAATTTATCGGCCCTATTGACGGATGTCACTTGAACTTTTGTTGAAAATCGCATATAATGCAATACTCAATTTTCTGTGCAAACAAAAGTAATTCTACGCCTGACAGTTATACTGCTTTTTAACAAAATTGTACGGCCCACCAGCGACCGAGGGGAAAAATCGCTGAACACTGATAAAAATATAAGTAAATAAGTCGCTGAACACGGTGTGGATTTGAATCCCGGGTAACGGGCTGGCTGCATGGGCGTTTTCATGGTTTTCCCGGTGGGTAACGTGCATACGAGCCAGTTTCCTTTAGAAAGTCTTCCACTAAGGCATACCTATCCTTAGGCAGATAACCTGGTGTGCTTTGCCGTAATCAAAGAAATCAAACCAAACAAAAAAAGTTG